AAGAGGGGGGGGGGGGGGGTCGAGCTCCACAAAGGTTACGCCCCTGTCACGTGCGGCGTGAGATTTGTAAACATTCCTCTACCATTTTTCATCCACGTGTTTATTTTATTACTGAATTACCGATCAGATGAACCTGCTATGTGGCCCAAAATGTAGAATGGATACTTAAGTCTCACTTAAAATGCATGCATATCAACAGTAAAGTATAAAGCGCCACTATATCAGTGGTTCCCTTATCGAGTTGATCTCTCAACATTATGTATGGGGGGGAAACCCTTTTCCTCCGAGATGCTGAAGCCTGATTGAATCACTCTGTTGCTCTGCAATAGGCAATAGTGTTCGAGCATTAACCTGATTTTGGCCTCAGCCGCTATATAGGTGATGTCGGGTGCCAGTTTACCTCAGCATCTTTCTCCTTCACTTAGAGATGCTGTATTCAAGAAGCCTCTTATCACTCAACGTCGAAGGTACACTCTTTAGTGGAAGGTGCCCGGATTCCCATCCCCTGCAGAGTTCCGGTGAGTATAACGTCTTCATATTGTACGGATAAGCTGTCCGTTCACTTCTTTACCTTTGCTGCTAAGCCGTGGAGACGGAAGGCACGGCAGCTCGGGACAGAAATGTAGGTGATGGGCTTGCAACGTGTCAATTCCCGCATCCCCCTTGTTCACCTAAACCTCCAATGTCTCCTTCAGAATGATTATTCACTGGCTTTCTGCCTGGGCGGCCCCCACACACAGGCAGTGCTACCCTCCAGTAAGCAAGGCCTTAAGGACTTTGGTAGCAAGCCGTGTGGGCCCAGTTCCTCAAAGCAGGAAATTGAAACTGTTCGCTTGGCACTGCAGGAATTTCTACCGTCTAACGTTCTGATCCGAACGGACAATACAGCAGTGGTGGCATACATCAATCGCCAGGGAGGAGTGTGCTTGCGTGCAAAGCTTGGCACGGCGCCTGCTCTTTTGGGCAGATCAAATGCTCCTCTCGATTCGAACAGTGCATGTACCGAGAAGTTTGAATTGCGGAATGGACATGCTGTCCAGGGAGGGCATTATACACGAAGAGTGGAGACTACATCCTCAAACAGTGAAGATGAGCTGGAGCCTCTTTGGCGAAGCAGAAATCGACCTCTTTGCTTCAGAGGAGAATGCCCACTGCCCATTATTCTTCTCACTAATGACCGCCCCCTTGGAAGGAGATGCACTGTCAGGCCACTGACCAAAGGGGCAGAAATATGCATTCCCTCTAGTCAAAATAGTGCCGCACCATCTGGCTCCCCAAGCCGGAGCTGTGGAACCTGCATTTATGGCAAGTCAGTGCAGAGTGAACCTGCTGACCGTTTCACAGCGAGTTCTGCACACAATAACGGAGGCTAGAGCCCCTTTGACGAGGCACCTATACACTTTGAAGTGGAAAGTGTTTGTGAACTGGTGTGTCAGCAGACACGAGGACCTGGCGAGTTGTGATATCCCCGCTATTTTGAGCTTCCTGCAAGAACACCTGGATGCGGGCAGCTCTCTCTCAACGCTAAAAGTCTATGTAGCCGCTGTCGCTGCCTCTCATGACATGTTTGAGGGTCACTCAGTGGGTAAATACCCCGTAATAACGAGCTTTCTTCAGGGCACGAGACGGCTCAATCCACCCTGCTCTCGCCTGTTGCCAGTATATATGGTACTTATTGTTAGTGCTCAGTGCGCTGTCTAGCCCACCCTTTGAACCGACTTGAAAGTGCTCCCCCACCCCCCATCTAGGCTCTGATTCAGTGTCACAGAGGCAGGCCCTGTGCGTGTGCTGCATGCTGCATGCAGTAAACTATTTCGAACTTCGGAGCAGTTTTTTATCTGCTTCATGGGCGCTAAGAATAGCAGCCCACTACTGAAGCAGAGGCTGTCACATTGAATTCGAGAAGCTGTGTGCCTAGCTTATGCTTCCCGAGAACTCGGCTGCCCAATGGGAGTACATGCCCAATTCATCGGGAGTCTGTCTTCTTTATGGGCCTGGGTTAAGGCATGTCTATTCAGGACATCTACAGTGGGTATAGAAAAGAATCACCCCCTTTAAAATAACCACATTTTGTTGCTTTGCAGCCTGAAATGAAGACAAACACTTTTTTTGTTTTATCCAGCTGTATTTACTCAGTAAAACTTATAACATCCAAGTGAAAGATATAACACCAACATGTCAGGGAAAAAAAAAAAAACAGAAGTTGGAAAAACGATCACCCCCCCTCCTCCTAAAAATGACTTGTAAACTCAATCAGGTGTAGCTAATCACCTTCGCTAAGGCACACAAAGCCGTTTGACTTTCAACTGTGATCAGCTGTGGTTATTTTGATTAGCTCAGCATGAAAAGAGCTTTTTTGGAGCATTTCAGGCCTTGGTAGTGAAACTGAAGCAAACAATCAACTAACTGGCAAGGCTCTGTCAAAAGATCTCCGGGATGGATACAAAACAGACGTCGCATCACTGTTGGTTTCACACTGAACGACTATCTGGGGTAGCATTCAGTTGTTGCTGTGTTCACACTACACGATGGAATTAAGACAGGAGGTTACACACTGCATGACTTTACAATTGGGAGAATCACCGATAACTCTGTCTGGTGCAGGGTTGCCAGGTTTTTGCTACAAAATCTGCCCAATTACTACTCAAAACTAGCCTGAAAATAGCCCAATTGCTTTCGAGGGGTCCCCCAGTAAAAATCGCATTCGGGGGGGCAAAATACACATTTTGTTTGGCGGGGTTCTCCTGGTACAATTCACATTCCAGGGCCTAAATATCCCGTTATTGGGGCTGATATGAAAAACAACCGGCGGCAATTTGGCAACACTGGTACTATTGACACTATTGGGTCTGCAAACTACGTTTCATATAACTCCTTCCCAAACTTCCCGCTGCCCTGTATCGTGCTCTCTCATTGGCTGTAGGTCATCGCCGATGTAGTTTTCAGTCAGAAATCATTGCACACAGCGTGATTGTGAATCGCCGACAGCTCCAATTTAGCATGCCAAATATTTTATGGGCGTCGGCGATTCTCTCAGATCGCGTCTTTGATAATTCACATTGCGTGATTGTCACTCACGAGCACCGATTTGCCTCCGATTTCGGGCATTTGTCGGCGATTTCGTAAAACCTGTCAGCGAGTGAAAAATCGGGCTAAAATCGTGCAGTGTGAACTCGGCATAAAATTTAATTATTTGGCCTCAACACCAAACGATATGTCTAGCGGAAATCCAGTTCAGCTCACCATCCAAATAACAGCATTTCTACAGTAAAGCATGCAGGTGGTAAGATCCTGTTATGAGGTGTTTCTCTGTAGCAGGGACTGGAGCACTTCTCAAGACAGAAGGAAAAATGGATGGGACAAAATACTGTCAAATTCTTGAGGAAAATGTGCTGCCCTCTGCCATAAAGTTGTCAATGGGAAGAAGGTTAAAAACCAAAGCACACAGCAAAACTGAGCACACTCCTTAGCAATGCATATTACTAATGATAATACCTTTTTGATATATTTACGGTAGGAAATTTTCTAAATATCTTCATGGAACATGATCTTTATTCAATATCCTAATGATTTTTGGCATAAAAGATAAATCGATAATTTTGACCCATACAATGTATTTTTGGCTATTGGTACAAATATATCCATGCTACTTATGACTGGTTTTGTGGTCCAGGGTCACATATTGCAAAGTCTAGATGTGCAAAGTTAGAGACAGAGACATATCCCAACAGACTAAAGGCTGTAATTAAAACAAAAGGTGGTTCAACAAAATACTGATACAAGGAGGTAATTTCAGGCTGCAAAGCAACAAAATGCGATTATTTATACCCACTGTAGCCTTGCAGCGGGCTGATCATCCCAGAACACTTTCGCGAGGTTAACTGGATATTCCCTTTTTTGCACTGCACGTCTGTGCAGGAGGAGAAGGCTGAGCAGCAGTGGCGGAGCTAGAGTTCCTACCATAACCTCAAATGTTAGTCTATTGGAATGTATTTTTCTTATTTCTATCATCTGATTAACCAGTGGTTGGAGCAAAAGATCTAACATTAATTTATACAGTGAATTTTGTAAATGTTGTTCAGGAAACTTGCTTCAAACAGGGCTGCCAACTTTTGAGTTCAGCCTGGAGTGAGAATTATTCGGGAATATTTAACAAGCTTGTGATTAAGTATACATTTGATTTTTTTTTTCTCAATTTTTCTAAACTAAACTGTACAGGGAATCCTGTTGTTAAGGTTAAAGACAACAATTGATTTGTATTCAAGTTCATATTAGACCATTTTTATAATAACGTTATATCTATACATTTGTATTAATTATATTAAAAAAAGAGTAATTATAGGAGTAAAAATATAATAAATGTAATTTTTGCCAAAATCTTCTCTCTAGTGTACATTTTTCTCGCTAATTTATGGACACTGAATATATTTTCTGAGGTTATGTGACAGTATTTTCAAGCTGCTGTCTTTCCGCGATTGAA